ATACAACTATATTCCCCTAGGGTCAGGGGACATTCAAGCAGTGTAACCAACGTGTTTCAAAATCCAATACACACCCCGTTTATCAGGGCTTAAAGTGACACTAAATTCAGGAGTTAAATCTTCAAAATGCATTTAGGTACCTTAACTAATAACAAAAATGTATCTTATTTGTGTATCAGTCAGCTGTAGATCCTCAAATCATCTCTGAATTGGTGCTGACACTGTCCTTCCTTCTGGAGGGTGGCTACTTTTGTTCCCCATGGTCTCTGTGTACATACACAGGGACCATGGACCATGTAGAGTAGCCACCGCTCCAAGCTCACTCCTGTGATGGACTACAGTCTCACGTTTAGTTTACTAATTTGTATTGAGATTGTAGTTCATCACGGGAGTGAGCTTGGATCGGTGACTACTTTACAACACACACAGGGACCATGGGGAACAAACGTAACCACCCTCCACAGTGTCAGCACCAATTCAGCACAGTTTCAGCACCAATTCAGAGATGATTTGAGGATCTACAGCTGAGTGATACACAAATAAGAATAAGTTTTGCTAATAGTTAAGGTACTTGAACATATTTTTTTTTTTTTTTAATTCTTTATTTTCAGTTTTTCAGTTGTACAAACAGTGGGTAATTAGAGAAAGAGGGGTTGTGCAGTACAGTAAAATACATTGGGTACAGCATAAATATGAGAAGTGTATATAAGACTTTACAATTCCACTGGTTTGGTAGCCCCAATGTGGGCAAAGTAGACAGGCATTTCAGTGTGTATTTACGCGCCACCACCCATGGGTGAAGCGCAACCACCATGCCTTGGCATGCGCCAGGCTTTGCAGGTCTCACTAAGAAAGGCAGTGCAGTCAAATACCTGCCATGTTGAGGACGTAGCACGGACGACACAAAAAGATGGGGTGGGAAGGAGAAGACAGAGAAGGGTTTGGGACTGAGACTTGGGGAGGATAGGAATCAGGGTGGGAGTCGGCGGAAGCGTAAGTTGGGTGAGCATTCAACCGAGTCCTGGCAGGAATGGGACCTCTTGATTTGCGTTTCACCGCAAGTGCGGCACAATGTCTCATTCCACCATGAGAGCGCCATACTCCGGGGAGTAGAGGTAATCCAGTAGAACCAGGTTTTCCGGAATTTGTCATCAGTATGGTGCAGAGTCGCAGTGAGCTCCTCCATCACCCGTGTTTCGTCCACCTTACGGAGCCACATTGTGACCGTGGGTGGGCTGGAACTTTTCCAGCGTAGCGGGATACAGGCCCTGGCAGCGTTGACCAGGTGAATGAGTAGAGATGCGCGGTATTTGGTCCTAGACAGGGTGGACCTGTGGAGCAACAGGGCGGCCGGATCCCCAGCCAAAGACATCCCCGTCAGGTGTTTGATTTGAACGTATTTTTAAGATTTAACTCCTGAGTTTAGTGTCACTTTAATGAGAGAAGTCATGTATGTGGACTAAAGTCTCTGCAGCTTGAAATTTGTATTGACTTGTGAGGGAAGAACTTCAGGCTTGTCAGCAGCTGGTTCAGTTTTGCTGACAAGCCTGAAGTTCCCTCATCACAGTTCAATAAAACTTTCAAGCTGCGGGGATTGTAGTCCACATGCATGACTTCTCTCATTAAGTCCCGATGAAGGCAGTGTGTACTGGACTTCCGAAATGTGTTGGCTATTCTACCTTGACCATATGGGAATAAAGTTGTATCAGGACAATTTTAATTGGTATGGCTCTTAATTTCCCACATCTACTGTTGTTAACTGTAGAGCCAAGAATACAGTGGGCATCTTTAAGTGCCCATTCACACTGGGCGTATAATCACGTTATTTCCGCCGCGTTATCGCGCAAATTTGCAGCGAGAAGTCTCTGTCCAATGATTTTCAATGGAGCTGTTCTATTGAACAGCTCCGTGTAGCTCGTAGCGCTCGCTTGTGCGGGACCCTTTTACCCGTGGATGTTGCGCGATTTTTCTATTTTTGCATGCAGCCCGACGGTGAAGGTCGCGTGATCGTCTCTAGAATGTCGCTCAAACAGTCGCGCTATACCCAGCCGTGTGGATCCGCTCAAGGTAAGTGTTGCTTAGTGTGAATGAGGCCTTAGACTGCGGAAGCTGCCTACCTCTTAGCCAGATCACACATATTCACATGAAGCAACATGAGAATAACCACATGGGTCCAGTGTTCTTTCCACACTTCCAGGTTTTTATTGTTGTCTGTGTCCCTGTTAGGAAGATTCACTCTCTATATTTGTGCTAAATACCAGTGTCACCGGGAATAAAAGTAAGGGTAAATCCAAAATTTTCGGTTCCCGCCAGAACAGGAACAGAGGGGAAATTTTGCAATACTTGCACAATGACAACTGTCAAAGAAGGAATATCCCTCACATTGGAAAGATATTCCCCTCCTCCCTGTTAATTCTACAGGAAAAAAGGGAATAGGAAATCTCCATAATGACAAAAAAAAAACCTGACAGTGGTTATAATTCTCTATCCAAAAAATAAAAAAAAGGTTTTGGCTTTAGGTATACTTTAAATACGCCCAAATGGGACAGAAAAATAAAAACTGACCTTGGCAACCAACATAGTGTCTGACAGATGCAAAGCCTGAGTGCTATGGACAAGGCATCCATCTATGGAGGAAGAAATCACTTAAGAGCCAATCGGTCTTTGTTTGACTTTTTAGCCTATATATGTTCTGATCAGATCTTAGAGCTGACCTCCGAGAATTTAAAGATAATTCTTCCATTGGCCACTCCCCCTCAATGCAATTATTAAATGCTTCTTTGGTTTGGGGGTAGACATATAAGCAATACTTACCTTATTCCTAACTCCTGCAGGCTTCCTCCATGAGGACCATGCCCCAAAGCCTCTTCTCTAAGATGCTTTGGCCTGTGGTTGCCTGCTGATGTCATCAAGTACAAAGTAGTCCTATAGTCCTGATTGTACATGGGTATGGTGAAGTACTGCCTGTAAGCTGGAGTGTCGTGGAGAAGAGGAGAGAGACAGAGTCTGCTGAATTGAGGAATAAGTATTATACCTTATTACTCCACCCCTAGACCTAATGAGCAATTTATCCTCACAGTGCAGGGGGGCTCACTGCAAGGTTGGCTTTTATTATATATTACCAAGAGTTCCACTTTAAGATACTCAGTTTTCTCAATCAAAATCATTCATACTAAACAATCACTGGTGCCGTGTATTGGTTGCCTTGCCCTTATCAACAGCCGTTTTTCATTAATAAATTATCACAACGTGGAGAAGAGTGGAACACTAGTCACAGAGATAGGTAGATAGATGGCTAAACAGACAGAGAGTAGATAGATAGATAGATAGATAGATAGATAGATAGATAGATAGATAGATAGATAAAGAGAGATAATGAATGAGAGCGAGGGGGAGAGAGAGAGAGAGAGAGGGACAAAGAGAGAAAAATGGAGACAGTGATAAAGGGAAAGAGAGGGATAGTGATGAAGAGAGAGAAGAAGAAAAATAGAGCTAGAGATAGATAGAGAGGGGGGGGGGTAGAGAGTGAGAAATATCCCTCACATTGGAAAGATATTCCCCTCCTCCCTGTTAATTCTACAGGAAAAAAGGGAATAGGAAATCTCCATAATGACAAAAAAAAAACCTGACAGTGGTTATAATTCTCTATCCAAAAAATAAAAAAAAGGTTTTGGCTTTAGGTATACTTTAAATACGCCCAAATGGGACAGAAAAATAAAAACTGACCTTGGCAACCAACATAGTGTCTGACAGATGCAAAGCCTGAGTGCTATGGACAAGGCATCCATCTATGGAGGAAGAAATCACTTAAGAGCCAATCGGTCTTTGTTTGACTTTTTAGCCTATATATGTTCTGATCAGATCTTAGAGCTGACCTCCGAGAATTTAAAGATAATTCTTCCATTGGCCACTCCCCCTCAATGCAATTATTAAATGCTTCTTTGGTTTGGGGGTAGACATATAAGCAATACTTACCTTATTCCTAACTCCTGCAGGCTTCCTCCATGAGGACCATGCCCCAAAGCCTCTTCTCTAAGATGCTTTGGCCTGTGGTTGCCTGCTGATGTCATCAAGTACAAAGTAGTCCTATAGTCCTGATTGTACATGGGTATGGTGAAGTACTGCCTGTAAGCTGGAGTGTCGTGGAGAAGAGGAGAGAGACAGAGTCTGCTGAATTGAGGAATAAGTATTATACCTTATTACTCCACCCCTAGACCTAATGAGCAATTTATCCTCACAGTGCAGGGGGGCTCACTGCAAGGTTGGCTTTTATTATATATTACCAAGAGTTCCACTTTAAGATACTCAGTTTTCTCAATCAAAATCATTCATACTAAACAATCACTGGTGCCGTGTATTGGTTGCCTTGCCCTTATCAACAGCCGTTTTTCATTAATAAATTATCACAACGTGGAGAAGAGTGGAACACTAGTCACAGAGATAGGTAGATAGATGGCTAAACAGACAGAGAGTAGATAGATAGATAGATAGATAGATAGATAGATAGATAGATAGATAGATAGATAAAGAGAGATAATGAATGAGAGCGAGGGGGAGAGAGAGAGAGAGAGAGGGACAAAGAGAGAAAAATGGAGACAGTGATAAAGGGAAAGAGAGGGATAGTGATGAAGAGAGAGAAGAAGAAAAATAGAGCTAGAGATAGATATGGGAAGGAAACTGCAAGCAACAGGATAAGGTGAAACAAGTGGAAAAACTTTTTACCTGTCACCAGCATCAGACACCATGATATCTCTGACATATTAGAATATTGGCTGGATTGCTGTCATCCACAGAGTAAAAGCATGCACTGCATATCCTAGCTGTACTGAGCTGACTACATATCAAATCACAGGGAAGACCAATGGCATGTATCTAAGGTTTCATTGTGCCATCCCCGGTGGCAGTGAATGTGGCATGTATGCTCGGTTTACACGTGTGGAGTGCAGCAGGCAGTGTTATCGGTCAGTGTAGTCTGACCACAGCACGATGCAGTCACTTACGCGCAGTCCTTCTCCATGTCTGTCTCTTTCATCGCTGTCCTGTCACTTTGCCGTCGTCTTCTCCTCCACTGTGCATGTGTCTGGAGCCGGATGCTGTCCAAATTTCCTGTGATGTCCCACTTCCCAGACCCGCTAGATCCCCGGCCACCCCCTCTGCCCCAGACACAAAGGGCTGAGCGATCAAGGCAGACACACAAGGCTCTCCCGGCTCCTGTGTACGGACAACTTTCCTCCACTTCCCTGTGACCACCGATCAGCACTGATCACAATAAAAGTCCTATGCACAAGGCAGTGCCATCCATGGCTGCAGTGATCAGCGCTGGCAGACGTGCCCTCCTATTCCTCGCTCCCTTGCTATGGAGTACTCTTCTCTCTTTGTTCTACTAGGAGGCTGAACGGCTTTCCTTCCTCTTCCAGCTGCCCCATCCCATCACATTTTCTTCCGATTTTTTTCCGATCCTCACTTTATTTGGAAGCTGTTTGGAGACTCGCTGTCTCCCTCTACTGATGGAGAAAATGCTACTTTCTCCATTTCCTATTCCGTTACTCTTTTGTTTCCCCAAAACTTGACATGGATTGGGAATGTCACTAGAAAGTGGTGAACATCAACTTCATTTACTCATCGGTTTGAAAAAAGTATATGTATGGGCTGCATCGCATCCAATCAGATTTGCTTTTTCTTCCCCAATTGAGTTTACATTGCAGTTATATGTGAACCCAATCATTAACTTGTTGCTGTCGGTGTATATACTGTATGTGCAGCACAGCGGTGGGCTTTGATGACATACTGCAACTTACACCCTAACATTCTGACCACTGAAAGGTGAAGTAAAGAACATTATCTCATTACATTGGCACCTGGAAGTGGCTGGGATATATAAGCCAGCAAGTTGATGTATTGGGAGGAACAGAAAAAAATGGGCAAACAAGGATTTGAGCGAATTTGACAAGGGCCCAATTGTGATGGATACACAACTGGTCAGAGCAACTCCAAAACTGCAGCACTTGGGATGTTCCCAGTCTGCAGTGGTCAGGACCTACCAAAAGTGGTCCAAGGAAGGAAAACCAGTGAACTGACAACAAGGCCATTGGCAGCCAAGGCTCATCAATGCACGTGGAAAAACGAAGGCTGGCACGTGGAAAAAATGGAGGCCCCACCCCGCAACTTACAGGACTTAAAGGATCTGCTGCTGACGGCTTGGTGCCAGATACTACAGCATCCCTTCAGAGGTCTAGTGGAGTCCATGCCTCAAAAGATCAGGGATGTTTTGGCAGCCAAAGGGGACCTACTCAATATTAGGCAGTTGGTCATAATGTTATGGCTGATTGGTGTATATGCATACAGTCAGCATTGCTGTTTTGACATCACACACACCCAGCACTGTGATTGTGATGACATTAACAGCTCCCAATCACTTAACAACAATTGGGGACCGGTAGGATAGGCTCCCAATCAAATGATCACTGTGACTACCAATCATAATACTTCACATGATGGGGAAGCCTAGTAACATTTCTGATGTTAAGAATCATCCTCTAACTACCCCTTGTACAGCCATTCAATTACAACCTCCCAGGGCAAGGCACTATTTTAAAATGGCTTTTTTGTTGCAGATCACACAAAAAAGGTACAGAACCAATGAATGATCCAGTGCTAGCCAGAACTCGTGACATTCAGTACCAGCACCAGCCAGTGTCATCCAGTGCCAGCCAGAACTAATATCATTCTGTGCGAGCCAGTACCAGTGTCATTCAGTACCAGTGCCTGCCAGAACCAATGTCATCCATTGCCAGCAGGAACTAGTGTCATCCAGTACCAGTGTCATTCAGTATCAGCGCAAATCAGTACCAGTGTCATCCAGTACCAGAGGCAGCCAAAACCAGTGCCTATACAACCAGTTCCAGTGTCATCCAGTACCCCAATAATCCAGTACCAGTGGGACTATGAACCAGTGCCAGCAAGAACCAGTACCTGTACAGCCAATACTAGTGTCATTCAGTACCATCATCATCCAGTACTTATGCCAGTCAGAACCAGTGCCAGCTAGAACCAGTAGCTGCACATACAATACCAGTGTCATCCAGTACCAGTGTTACCCTGTTCCAGCCAGAAACAGTGACTGGTTACTACAAGTGCCAGCTATTTTGGGGTGTTTGTACTTTCCTGGCATTTTAGAGCCTCCCGAAATCTAAAAGGTAGATAGGTATTCAGATGCATAATTTATGTCCCTTGGAAGCCTGAAGGTGCTCCTTGGATTTTGAGCCCCACTATATAAATAGGCTGCAAAAAAGTCTCACATATGTGGTATCCTCATGCTTAGGAAGAGCACCCTAAGGGGTTAATTTTAAATTTAACTCCTTCATGACTGATGTTCAAAGTATGTCGCTGTTACTAAGTGTGATACTTAGTGGCAGTGACATTGTATGCCAGGTGAAAACGATTAGCTTTTAGAGAAAAATTATTACATTTTAGGTCTTAGGCTGATAAGTACAGAAAAATGTCTAAAATCCTAGAGATATGAGGTGTTTCCAAATAAATGAATGTATTTAATGCATTTTTTTTAGCTGTGCTACTTTTTTCAAAAAATACTACAAATCAAAACTGAGGGAAAAGTGTTTTCTTTAATTTTTTCCTCAATTTTAATATTTTATTTGTCCTAAGTGAGGCGTTAGGTACACATATGTGATATAAATATATAGCCCTATCTGTCCTCTACAAAACAATATATAATATGTGTGGGTGCACTTTGTAGGAAAGTATATTACTGATGTGGAAGAATCGCACAGCAAAAATGTCAAAAGTGTGTCAGTCATTTACGAACAGAAACTAAAAACAAGTGCAGTCATGAAGGGGTTAAAAAACCCCATCCATTTACTATTGTTTTATCCCTGATAAGCTGGTGGTGAATGTGCCTCCCTAAGCCCTCTTCATAGACTAAATAGGAATGGTGTCCCCCCCCACCTCTCCCACGTAGCCATTCATTATTTAGGTACTGGGTGTAACATGAAACACGGTCCAAACGGTCCAACTTAGCCTTTCAATGAAGGAAGTAATTCGATAATGACAGCATGGGAATCTCCTAAGTTTGCCTGTGTAAGAAAATTTAGAAGACGTATTCTTTATTAAGCTGAGAACAATAAAGTGATGAAGAGCATACAGGCCTTTATTAGCATAGCATTGGGATAAATGCATTACAAGTCCTCACCCCAACATGACCTCTCTACACTGTATATTATAGGACCACTTCAAATCCCATTATGTCCTCTATACACTATATGTTATAGTTTGAGTTGGGGGTGTAATTTTTAGCATAGCCTGTACACATTGCATATTTTGTGAATTGAAGACTATAAGTCCCAACATAACCTGTATATACTGTATATTATGTACAATTGTAACTGATGGACCATAAGTCCTAGCACACCACAATATTTACAGTGCATCTGTATAATGGATATACTTTGCCACTGTGCATGCCACTTACTTCCCCCTTCCCCAAACTATGGCCACATACCCTCTGCACTGACACCTAGGGAGTACGAGTCTTCTTACCCCCTTTATCCTTCATCCCCCACCTGCTAACACCACTGTTTTACAACTCAAGAAATTATGTTGTTGTTCCTTTTAATTACTATTATAAATAGGCTAAGTCCTCCATACCATATTGTCTTTAATGTCTTCCTTATATTGTAAAGCGCTGCGCAAACTGCTGGCGCTATATAAATCCTGTATAATATTAATAAGTCTACTTGACCATTAGAAAGAGCGGCTTGCATGTGTTTTACTCTGCCAAGCACCTCCTGAGCCCTTGGCCATTAATTTACATTGTTTCTCCTGGCAGCTTCCCTGCATGCTGCAGGAAAAGCATTTTAAGCACAGATGTAATAAGGGCCAAGTATAGGTGCCAGATTCTGTGCTTAAGTCCAGCGCCCATGTAGACTCTGGAATAGTTTACCATTAATTGAAGAAATTTAGCAAATACGACAGCTCCATCCTGACAACACAGTATGAAATGAAATAATCAATAAATAAATCATTGCAGTTCTTAAAACCCGTCACCTGTTAGCAGCTGTGTGTAAACATTAAAAACCTCAATAAATAAAAACCGAGCAAACATTTGATGCAGCACTATAAAAACTGGCAATAGCGCAAATAAATATAAACAGTACATATATATGTGAATCTATACAAATAAAAAAATGCTGTGGTCATTATGATGGTTTCCCATTTTCCCTGTTAGATTTTTAATTTATTTTATATCTTTTTTATATTAACAAGAACACAAAAAGGAGTGTAGAAACATGCAAAGGTGGGAATGCTAAGATGGCCAGGAACTATTGCAAGGAGAACGCCCTACTGAAATATCCAAGACGTGATAAAAAATTTGGACTAACCCTCTGAAGTGACAACTGTATCATAGCTTTACAAGCTTATATAAAGTCACTTGTAGTTTAGATTTTTACATTATACTTAAAGTTTAAAAAAAAATGTTTGCAGTTTTATTCTAGATATTAGGATATAAGACCTCATGATATATGCAGGCCCTGCAAATTGTTTTCACTTGACAGGTTAACTTGACAGGTGAACACCTAGGGGGGCTATTTATAATATAAATTTGCACAGCTTATTCATCAAGCAAAACTGCAGCTGCATTCGTTCTGTGCGAGTTAACCAGATGTTGTAAGAATGGGGCAAAAATCAATGTTCTTAGTGTAATTTCTCTTCTGCCCCCATGTTCTTAAATAGGTTTGTTCATAAAGAACAGAGTGAATGAGGAAAATAGTGCATTATGGTCACTAGAAGGAACTGAGAATCATAGGAAATAAATACATGTTAGTAATGAGATACAATGTTACAATTCAAGAGAATGCTGGAGGTAATGAGCATATAAATGTAACCATTGCTATCCCCATAGTACAAATGGTTACGCTCATTTCCTTCAGCGTTTGCTTGGATTTAATGTCATTACTAACATGTATTTATTTCCTATGATCTTTAGCTCCATCTAATGGCAATAATTAAATATTTCTGTCCCGGTTTCATCAAGGCCCACTTTCCTCTTTGATCATTCTCCTTCATTTCCTTCTTTACCTTTTTTCTTGTGCTTCTTTGATCATTCTACCCTACTTCCATCCATGCCCGGTCCTGATCCTCTGTGATCATTCTGCTCCAATGCTATTTATGCACACTCTCCCTTATTATATGATCACTCTCCTCTTTTTCCATCCCAAATGGATCAGTTAAATGACATAGAAGTGTACAAAATAAACCATACACACATACATTACACACTAAGAAAATAAATACACAACAGAAAATGCACCCCATCCAACGAGTTCATGAACAAGCATACATTGCTGTTATATGTAGCTGAAGTGCTAATAATGAACTTCGTTATTAAAAATCGTTATCTATTTATATAGTTCATTTCCAAAGTAAGTACTTTGTTACTGCTTAGTTGTTAATTGGGGGTTTGACACTTTTTATTGACATTGTTTTGTTTTTATGATTAGTAAGATTTTAGTAATTAACTTTTGTATTCAGTATATTTTGATAGCTGCTCCAATATTATACTAATTTGCTAAAGACATTTTCAGAAATTATATTGTATTATTGTATCTCTCTGGCATAGAGAAAATTACAATCAATTAATAATTGTAGCAGGTTTGGTTAATATTAAGTCATGTTTTTTTTATTATTATTATTATGATGAGTATTATTATTATACATTTGAAATCTTTATTATTATGATTATTAAGAATTAGAGGGAGGACTGTGAGCCAGGCCTTCTCGTCCAACATCAGTACCTGACCTCACAAATGTGCTTCTGGAAGAATGGTCAAACATTCCCATAGAGACACTCCTAAACCTTAACAACAGTTGAAGCTGTTATAGCGGCAAAGGGTGGGCCAACTCAATATTGAACCCTACGGACTAAGACTGGGATGCCATTAAGCCCTCGTTCACACCTGAACGTTTTGTAGCGCGTTCTACGCTCGACGAACGCTCTACAAAACGTTCAAAAATATAAATCCCATTGTATTCAATGGTCTCGTTCCCAACCTTGGCGTATTTCCGCCCGTCCCTAACACGCTACAAAACGGCCCACGCGTTACCTGAAAAGGTACATGTACTACTTTGGGCCGTTTTGTTGCGCGTTTCCATTGGGATACAGCCAAGTAGCCTTCGGAAATGCGCGACGGTCGCGCAACTTTTTTACCGCGAAGCGCGTTAAAAAAACGCGCGACAGACGCGCATATGCAATACGCCTAGGTGTGAACGAGACCTAAAGTTCATGTGCGTGTAAAGGCAGGAGGCAGGCGTCCCAATACTTTTGGTAATATAGTGTGTGTATATCTATATACATATATATATATATATAGAGATATATATATATATATATATATATATATATATATATATATATATACAGGGCTCAAAATGTCATGTCCTGAGCTACTAGCCAGGCCTTAAGAGTTAACTACAGTTGCCACACCTAATCCCTACCCTTCCCTAGCACTAACTCTGCCCCTAAACACACCAGCGCTGTAATGCATGTTACAGAGGTCAGTGCTGTAACGCACATTACAAAGCTCACTACTGTAAGTAACGCACATTACAGAGCTCAGTACTGTAACGCACATTACAGAGGTCAGTAGTGCACGTTGCAGAGGTCAGCGCTGTAACGCACATTGCAGAGGTCAGCGCTGTAATGCTCGTTGCAGAGGTCAGCGCTGTAACGCACGTTGCAGAGGTCAGCGCTGTAACGCACGTTGCAGAGGTCAGCGCTGTAACGCACGTTGCAGAGGTCAGCGCTGTAACGCACGTTGCAGAGGTCAGCGCTGTAACGCACGTTGCAGAGGTCAGCGCTGCAACGCACTTTGCAGAGGTCAGCAGTATAAGGAAGAAAGAAAAGGGACTTACAGTTCATTTAGGTGGTATTCAGGTGCCCTCTTCTTTCTCCTGGTGTTGGTCGTGGGGAAGGGGGGGCGGTACAGAGCTCCTGCATCTACTGACGCGAAACTTTATTTTCACGTCCCGCGCTGCATTAGTTTCTGTCTGTCCAATAGTAACTCTGCAGGTGCCTGAAAGAGCCGAAGGAGCCGAAGACAGCCAAATCTGATTCCCCTCCTCCTCGGCCGCGGCCGCTACAGAGCGGGCCAGGAGGAGTGAACACAAAGCCAGCTATAGCCGCTCGGAAGCGGCGGTAGTGTTCAATTGCAGGTCCTGCCGGCGGCGCACCCCCTCCATGGCATTCCACTCGCCCCCACGCAATTTTCACTCGCAAATTGCGAGGGGGCGAGTGGAAATTCTGAGGCCTGCATGCAACATTATATGGTTTAAATGATAGTTGAATGCATTTTAACTTATAGTTAAGGCTAGGAGAAAGGTGCAGTCATTTCTTCCCCCTCTCTCCTACTAGTGGTCTTAAGAGTTTCAGATTTCATCTGTGAGGTACCATATGTCCCAGAGCCTGTCATGTTTTAAAAAGGCTATTCATGGCAGAAGGGCAGGACATTCTCACAAAGGAAAAAGGGACCTATTCTCACATTCTAGAGCACTAACACACGGGCACACAAGGCAGACACACACACTAAACTTTTACAAGAAATTACTTATACATTTACATAACTATTTTATATTTTGATTTATGCCCCTTATTGTGTAATCATTTTGTAATTAAACACATTTTGGAGCAAGAACGAAAGCAATTTTCTCTTTTGAACTTCCTCCACCCTACATCTTCAAGATAAAATAATATGATATAGAAAATAATATACCACGTGTAGCAAAAGAAAGGATTTTGTTTATGATTATTTAGAAACTTTATTTTTTACCTGTTGACACTTTAACACATTTATGTTTACACCTACAGATCATCTCCACTTTAAATTGGCCCCTCCACCCCTCTCTCTGAAGTAACCCAACACATTTTATTAATGGGTCTCCTGGACAGCCTAAGTGACATCTTGTATCTTTCTCTTCCAGTGGTGGCAGTAGGCAGTCCTTACAACTGCTCATAATGGTGCTAACACGTTTAATGCAGTAGCACTCTAAGCAGAGGCCAACATGGACCCATCGCCTGGGGGAAGTGGTTTATGTTGTTAGTCTTCCAGGTAGAATGACACTGTCCATCATTCAACCCGGAAGACTAATAACATCTAGTGGTGGAGAGGTACTTATTGCAGCAAAAGTTTTTTTGTTTTTTTTAAAAGGGCTACATAGTTACATAGTTACATAGTATTTGAGGTTGAATAAAGACATTAGTCCATCAAGTCCAACCTATTAGGATCTCGTTCTAGGAGTAACTGTACCCCTGTATATTACGGTCCCTTAAAAAATCATCCAAATGTTTCTTGAACAATTCCACGTTTTTTGCTGAAATCACCGCCTGTGGCAGTGAGTTCCAGACCCTACCGCTCTAACTGTGAAGAACCCCTTCCGCCCCTTGTGCTGGAATTTTTTTTCCATCAATTTTAGGTGGTGGCCTCTAGTTTTTGTAACGGAGTTAATTTTAAATAGTTTATCGCCAATGTTGCTATCACCATTGAACATTTTGTACATGGAGATCATATCCCCCCTTAATCTCCTCACCTCCAATGTGAACATGTTTAAATTTAGTAGCCTCGTCTCGTAGCTCTGGTCCTCCATACCCCTAATTAGTTTGGTTGCCCTCCGCTGGACCTTTTCCAACTCAAGGACATCTTTTCTTAGTACTGGTGACCAGAACTGGACCGCGT